CCCTTTCCCTTTAGCTGTCACTCCTTTCCGAGTCACCTGTTACTTGGGGTGATTGGCATAAAAACAACAGTTAACACACTCAGAAACCCTGTTAAGTGGCAGGGTTTTGTTTTTGTTTTTGTTTTTGTTTTCTTTTGTCAGCAAGAATCACTTGAAGAGTACAGGTTAATGAAATGGAACTGGAAAAGCAGTTCATACAAGTAGATTTATTATAGGAGACTACTGTTGCTAAATGATTTCCTCTCGACCCAGAAAAAATGCACTTGGGGTTACTTATTGCATATGGGATGTTGAACTCCTCAGAAATCTCTATGGCGTTGTAGAAAATAAGGTAGTGTACTGGGAAAGACAGACTGCTTAATATGGATATTGAATAAACTTTCATAGAGGCCATACTGGAAGGTGATTTGTAAACATTTGGTGGGGAGAGCCATAGAAATCAGATTAGATTTAATGAAAAGATTATACCAAATAAACTTCATTTTCCTGTAGTCAGAAAATATGAAAGAAATGGTATATTTTTATTTTATCAAGATATTTAGCAAAATCGTTTTATGTGTTTTGGGTTTTTTTTTTTTTAGGTTATTTATTTATTTTATTGAGACAAGATCTTCCTGTGGTCTCAGCTGGCCTAGAACTTACTATGTAGACCAAGCTGACCCTGGTCTGCCTCACAAAGATCTGCCTGACTCTGCCACCCAAGTGCTGGGATTAAAGGCATGCGCCACCACACCTGGCACCCTAAAACCCTTTTAAAATATGGTTGCAAGTAGGTGCATATGTAAATGACTGAGTAGCCATATCCCAAAATTGTTAGGTCATTACTGTGAAAAGCAGATTGTTCGGGATAGGCTCATTTGTGGTTCTTTCCTGTTGAGTGTTTTGATCAGTAATTGAGGCAGACCACAGAGGCATAACTGAGACAGTCAGATGTTTTAAATGTGAGGGCAATGGGTAACACACTGACTGTCTTTCAGAACACAGAAATATCTCTGCAGTCTGGAATGCTAGGCTGCTGCTGAACTTACATTAAATAATGAGACAAGTTAAAGCCCTCAGTGCAGGATCACTCACTCCAGTTTAAGAACATTTAGAAAGACCTGGCATTAACAAGTAGTTCTTGGACTGGCTCAGGCAATTAAGAACACAGGCTGCACTTGTAGGTAACCTGTGTTCGGTTCCCAGCACCCTCATGACGTCTAACAGCCATCTGTAACTTCAGTACCAGGGAATCTGACACCCTCTTCTGACCTCCGTGGGTATTACACACATGTGGTGCACTTACATGCAGGCAACACACTCATACACATAAATAGATGAATAAACAAACAAGTACTACCTATGGAAGACAAAACAAGCTCTTTCTGAGTCCATTGTATTAACTGCCCAAATTCCTAAAGGTACCTTGAGTTGTTGACATCTGCAAAACAGAAAGTGGTGCTCTGTATCTATGTGATTTTTCTATATTATTCATTCCATTTGTGACAGATGGACCATTAACCCTACCTTTCTTAGAAGGATAATTTAAGAAGCTGAGAAGAGTTTTTTTCTGGAGATTACAATTAGGAAAGACAGGCATACTGTCTTCAAACAGGAGTCTTTGTGTGGAAGAGAAGTTAGAATATGTTTTGGTCTACAGAGCAGACCCAGGGCCATCAGACACTATAGTGAGGCAATGTTGGTCTCCTTACAGAATTATCTAGTGGCCATCTGATTCTGAGATCTGCCAACACAGCATTACTGAACACTGGAAATACTCAAAGTAAAGCAATGCAATCATTTAGTAAGAAGGTTACATGGATGTAGAAAGGGCTGCTGTGGGACTAGATGATTCTTTAATTACTGTTACAGGCCAGTATTCTGTAAATCTGTATCAAGTTATCTCCCTTAGGTTTGTTTCTTGTTGTAAATGTTTAATTTTAAGTGGATTTTTAAAGCCTTTATGTTTTTCATGTATCTTTAATATTCAAATCTCCTTTGTTGATCTATTAGCAACTCATGTATTTCTGTAGGTTTGTCTTTTGTTGTTATTTGCTTCCTTGTTTGTTTTTACGAGATAGTGTTTCACTATGTATTACTAGCTGAACCTACAAAGTAGCCCAGACTGGCCTTGAACTCTCAGTCCTCCTGCATCAGATCTCCCAAGTTCTGGTGTTAACAAGCATTTACCTCCCTACATTTGGCTGTGTGGAGTTTTTCTTTAAGTAGTTGCTTTAAGGTTTATACTAATAGCGTAAATCTTTCATTTTAAAAAATATTTTATTATTTATTCCTGTATGTGGCATGTTTGTCACACATGAAGGTGCCGAGGGAAGACAGAAGAGAGCATAGGATTCCCTGAATCTAAAGTTTCAGGTGTTTTTGACCTGCCCGACGTGGGTGCTGGGAACTAAACTTAGTTCCTCTAGAAGAGCAGAAAATGGCTCTTAACTGTTGAGCCATCTCTCCAGCTCCATCTTTAACTTCTTACACTTTGTCTTCAGGAAGTATACCCCACTTGAGCTGTTATTGTCCTGATTCTACAAATGTTACAGCCTCGGAATACATTGTTGTATTTGCTTTAAACAACTGATTTCTCTTTAACCTTTTCACCTAATGGAGACAAACTTCATATTTCTGTATTTACTCATATTACTGTGACCTCTGGTGCCCTCCCTCCTTTGGTATCTTCTAGCTTTTGTCCTCCAGAAACTCTTTATTTTGCTTTGTTTGGTTTGTAGTCATTATGTAGCCCTGGCTGTCTTGGAACTCACTATGTAGAATCTTTATTTCTGAAATACATTTTCACTGGGATATAAAATTCCAGGATAACAGCTTGGCTGTATATTTTTCTCAATAATTTTTAGGAATTCTCCACTGTCTTTTGACTTACATAATTTCTGTGAAGCAGTCTGTTGGCTATTCTTTGGCTTTCTTTGTCCATGGTGTACACACACACACACACACACACACACACACACACACACACATTTTCGGTTTCTTTGTCCATGTTCATCACACACACACACACACACACACACACACACACACACACACACAGCTGTTTTTAAGATTTTTCTCTGAATGTAGTCATTTCATTGTTCTGAATCTCTGTATAGTAGGTGTGTGTTTCTGTCTGTCTGTGTCTGTATGTCTGAGTACGTGGGCACATGCTGAGGCCTAAAGAAGATGTTAGTCCCTCAGAGCTGGAGTTACAGGCATCACACCAGGTCCTGGGATCTAAACTCCAGTCCTCATGATTGCTCAGCAAATACTCTTAACCCCTGAGCTGTCATCTCTCTAGCCCCAAACTCTATATAGTCTTATTTATATTTCCTAGACTTAAGATTTATGTGCTTTTTAGCAATATTAATAATTTTTATCAAATTCAGGTTTTTTTTTTCCATATATCACACTTTCAAACATTTTGTCTGCTCTTTGCCCTACCAGTATTTGTTAAGTACCCTCTCTATATTATCAGCCCTCAACCAATGTGCAAGTTCCATCTTTGCCCTCAGGAGCTGGATACTGTTCAGTGTACATGTGTTCCTCCTCAGGCTGGTAGAAACATTAGGGAAGAGGCATCTGAGCTGACCCTGATGGGGTGCCTTCCCTCCATGCTCCACCCCCTTGTTTCATTCTGAATAATTGGTGTTACTTGGCTTAGTAGCTTTTTCTTCTACATTATCTAAATCTGCTGTTAACCCAATCCACTGTAATTTAGCACTGTAGTTTCTATTTCTAAGTTTTATTTTGTCTTTAGTTTTTCTGTTCTATTTTATTTTTCTTGAATGTGTTGATTGTAGTTGTAGTGACTGCTTTTGTGTTCTGAATATTCTATCAGGGTCATTTCTTTTGGTTGGTCTCCTTGCTTTATATTTTTGATTTCTATCTATCCAAGCTGGCTGTTAAGCTTTGTTGGTAAGATGAAAACAGGATGTAGGCTAGGCTAGGACTGATTTTGTTTAACTACTGAGACAAACTATCCAAGTGTTGTGCTTGATGCCCTTTGACTAGGTTTTCCATTCACACTAATGAGAACAGGAGCACCTTCATGTGAGCTCTGATTCTGTTCCCTGGCCCTGGTGACTCCCCTTTGTATATACATGTGCTTGTCAGGACTCAGCAGCAGGCAGCGCTGAGATTATTGCTTAGCAAATTTCTGTGTTCTTTATGTTCAACATTCTCTTCTCTGGTACTCAGCCCTGTGAACTCTAGGTGCTAGAGCCTTGCCTTTTCAAGGCTCTGCATCTTCACCTAGTGGAGACCATCTGCTCTGCCTGGTTTCCACTAAGAACAGTTGTGAGCTTCTCTGCATCTGTCTCTTCACTTGGGCCACTGTCTCATGCTGCCGCAAGTCCAGTGTTCCAAAGTCATTGCTTCATATCTTATTCTGTTTTTCTCTTCCATGAATAAAGGTAAATATGATTCTATTTCTCCATCTTTGTTAGAAGAACCTTTCGAGTGACTTATATACTGATAACACCTTAGCTTAGCTCTTGAAGCCTTTTTCTGCTCCTTTTCTCTCTAGGTCTTAACAGCCTTCTGCACCTTTCTTTCTAACAGATTGTTAACTTTTCATTGCTCTGACAAAATCCCTGAGATTTATTTTGATTCATGGTTTCAGAGGCTTCGGGTCTATGGTTGGTTAACCTAATTGCTTTTAGGCTTGTGGCAAGCCAGAAACATCCCATTGTAAGAAAGCTTTTCACCTTGTGGCAGCCAGAAATCAGAAAAAATAAGAGAGGCAGGGTCCAGGGGCAAGAGCTATCCTCCAAAGTCATAGTCCCAGAGACCTCCTTCCTCCAACTGGGCCCTATTCCCTAGTTTTCTAAAGATGCTATCAAATCATGAATCCATCAGTAACCACTGATGAAGTTAAAGCCTGCCAGCTATCAACAAACCCTTCAGTTGAGGGCTGATAATGTAGAGAGAGGGTAGTTAACAAATACTGGTATGTTATATATTTGTTAAAATGAAGTATTTTTTCTCTTCTTCCACATCTTCCCTCTCAAAATCAGGCTACAGAAGAAGTTTCTAAAAACCTGGTTGCCATGAAAGAAATTCTGTATGGCACAAATGAAAAAGAACCGCAGACAGAAGCTGTAGCTCAGCTTGCTCAAGAGCTGTATAATAGTGGACTCCTTGGCACTCTAGTAGCTGACTTGCAGCTCATCGACTTTGAGGTAAGAAAGCTGTTTCTTCATTTTCACAGTTGCAATTTGTAGTCCTTTTCCATATGTTCACTTCTTTAGAACATCTTAAGATTCCTGTTGGTTCAGGGGTTCCTGACCTTTGTATGCATGCAGAGCCAGGGCAGGAACCAGTGGTGTCTCAGGCATAAACCAGGTTTTCTCCACATTTTATGTAGCTTCTTGGGTATTCATTGTGCCCTTTTGGATCTCAGCAGACCACCAGAGAATGCTGGTTCTGGCCTCCCTCTGGCATAGGGGCTGAGAACGCAGGGGACTGTCTGAGAGTGCCCGGATCCTGCCTCCCTGTGGTGTTCCTGCTAATAGGGGTACAAACCTTAGAAGGAAGCCTGAGTGTACCTGACTGGAACCTGACTTGGACTTCTGTGGGTGCTCCTGAATAGCTGATCTGAAGCCATCAGTTCCCACAAATAAAACCTGAGAGAACCTGAAACTTGTACCAACCAGCTTTACATAACCACTAAGGAAAGGACTGAGGCACCCCGATAATACAAACAGAAGCGTACTTCAACTTCTCGTATCAGAATCACAACAACAAAAAAATTCACATGCCAAAATCACAACAAAAGAATGATAAATGGAAAGCCAAAACACTATGTCCCCACCAAACTCGACCAGTCATGTGCCCTTTCATTTAGGTTATAGTTCATTAACAGCTCTTTGATTCAAGGAATAAACAGTGTAAAGAAAACCATAGACTGTTAGAAGAACTTAAGAGAATGCCCATTACAGGAACAAGCATATGTTTTTTGTTTGCTTGGCACTGTTTTTAAATTTTTTAATTAGTTTAATGTTTAAATACCAGATTTTATTCACAGTTCTGAATTTCTGATTTCTCTTGGAAAATTGACTCTAGTAATATTGGAGCTGTACTCCTTGGCCCCTCAGCCGGACTAGGGCAACAGCCAAGGCATTCACCCTTGGGTTAGCTGTAGACAGCACAGCTTGCTTTTTCTCTCGGGGTCCTCTTTCTTTACACACTTTGTTGCCTAAGCTTATGCAGCTGGCTCATGGCATGTTAGATGCCTAGAGAGTTTACCGCTTAGGATGATGGTCCTTGATACCAATCTGAGGAGCATGTGTGGTAAGGAAGCACTCAGACTTGCCACAAGCAGCTTCCTCTTTGACTCTGTCAGAGTGTGCTTTAAGTCTTAGATGTCCATGCAGGTACTTAAAAGATAGGTTTGTGTTGGGGGGGTGCATTGCATTGGGGAGGGGATAACAACCAGATTTCATTTGGAAAAAGGAAGAAAGTGTAGTTAACTTGAATAATACTGATAATAAGGGAAAATAGAAATTTATTTTTATCCTACTGTAGAGCAAATAAAACTAATAAGATGTTTCTGTTATGTAACTGATCTAATGTATTTTTAATAGTGTATCAAGTTCCAACAGCAGTTTATTTTCTCTGCTAACTCGAGGTACATTGGAGCATCTAGTTCCTTCTATTTTGTCTCTATCCATTTCAGTCTCCAAACTTAACACTGAACTTAATATTCATTAGATACTTTTGAGACTTAAAGACATTATTTTAAGAGGCTGGAGAGATGGCTTAGCAGTTAAGAACACAGACTGTTCTTGCAGTCTCGAATCCCAGCACCCACATGGCAGCTAACAACTGTCCATAACTCCAGTTCTAGGGGATCCATGAGCCTCTTCTATTCCCACCGGCATTGCATGACACAGGTGTACATAAGATTAAAAAAAAAATAAAATTTCTTTAAAAAAGATTTTTTTTTTTTTTTTTAAAGTGCATGCCCGGCGGCCGCCCCTGCGCCGCGCGCCCGGTGTATGGGTGATATACTCTGGCGGCGGCAGGGTGAGGGACGGCCATATTTGCTGGCGCGGCCCGAGCCGTCAACAACAAAAAGTGCGCGGGCGCTCGGACGGGCGCGGAGACGCAGAGCCACTCGGCCCGGGCCTCGGCCTCGCCGCCGCCGCCCTCGCGTTTTGGCCTGGCTTGGCCGGGCTTGCCGGCCGCCAGGGGGGATGTCTTACAAGCCGAACTTGACCGTGCACATGCCCGCCCCCGCCCTCAACGCCGCAGGAAGTGTCCATTCGCCTTCCACTAGCATGGCAACACCCTCCCAGTACCGCCAGCTGCTGAGTGACTATGGACCGCCATCACTAGGCTACACCCAGGGAACTGGGAACAGCCAGGTACCTCAGAGCAAATATGCAGAGCTGCTGGCCATCATTGAAGAGTTGGGGAAAGAGATCAGACCCACATATGCAGGGAGCAAGAGTGCCATGGAGAGACTAAAACGAGGCATCATTCACGCTCGAGGCCTGGTTCGGGAATGCTTGGCTGAAACCGAACGCAATGCCAGGTCCTAGCCTCCGTAGTTTGAAGGTCCGCATCTTTGTATGAGATGGGAGGTTAACAATTCATATCGCCTGTTGAGATAAAATTCTTTTTTTAAAAAGTGGTAACAGTTTAGTTTTTTTCTGCCATGGTTCACTAAGCTCTGAACCTACACTCTCAGAGATTGGGGAAATATTTTGCAGTTAATTAAGATGTGCATTTTAAGTAGTTAGGAATGACCCAGGTTGTCTTTTTTTTTTTTTTAAGCATTGATTCAAAAGATGCATGTAAAATTACTTTATAGCAAACTATTGTTTGCCCCCAAATGCCAGTGTCTCCCTTTAATCCTCCTTTGAGTACATTTGTTGTTTGCATTACCCAAACAGATTTGTTCCTTTTCATAAGCTCATTGGACTCTGAGGACTTTAGTGCATACCGACATACCAGTTTTACTTAGTACCTGGCTTGCTTGCCATACAGTGTAGATTCTGCTTAATGGAGCTTTTTTGCTTAAGCATTTGCATGACTCTGAGTGCTTTGAGGTCAATCTTAAAAAATGCAAAAGTTATAAATACAGAAGAAAGAGCAGTCTACCCAACCTAACTAGCACCCCCAAAATTTCTATCCCGAGACTGTGCATAGATGTTCCACATTTGCTGTAAGCAGATCATAACACCTGGAAGAAAATGACTGAAACTGTTTACATCTTTGTATTTTTTACTTGATGTAATAAAGCTTATTTTCATTTAAAAAAAAAAAAAAGTGCATGCCCATGAGACTGATTGGTAAAGGTTACCAATGCAGGCCCCAGGATGATCTGTCTCTCTGTGTGCTTCAGGTAAAGTGCTCGAAGGCTAGTGTTTCACAAGCTGCCCTCTGAGGTTTGTCAACCTTGTGACAAGAGGCCATTCTGAAACATCTCTTGGGGGCCAATTCTCCCTTTGTTAATGTCTCGGGCAGCTTTCTGATTGATTAGGTTCGCTAGGTGGTGGTAATATCTGTTTTATACAGTGGTGATACATAGTTCTCAACTCTGAACTACTGTATCATGTGGTAATTAGCACCTTCCTTATTAATCTACCTTAAACCTTTCCTAAGTGACTGAGTTTAATAGAGGAATTTGTCTATTTGTCCTTAAAACTCAGCTTCTTACACAAGTCTCCAGTTCCATTATACTGAGAGTACAATTTCCTCTTTCCATTATTGCAAAAGAAAAGTGTACCTGTTGTATTTTTCATAGCACAAGTGTGCTATTTGGAATTGTTTGTTCCACTTGGGTGGATTCACATCCCTATAGATTGTAAGCATGATTCTGAGAGTTAGAAATGGTTGAAATTACTCGTGGAATATAGTTAGATTTCATTTTGTTGATGCATTGTATAAAAATTGCACACTATTAAAACTCAAGAATATGGAATTATAAAGGGATAAAATAAAATTTAATATCTATGGATGTTGTATAGTCATTTATTCAGTCATAACTAAATTTATAATGAGTCTCTGACTTTATTTTGAAGGGTGGATGGGCATTTTAATATTTAGTCAGGTAAATATTTTAATGATTGTTTCCTAATAGGGCAAAAAAGACGTGGCTCAAATTTTCAACAATATTCTCAGACGACAAATTGGTACAAGAACTCCTACTGTTGAATACATCTGCACCCAACAGAATATTTTGTTCATGTTATTGAAAGGGTATGTACAATATAATAAAATTTATATTCTTAGTTGAAAATAAAAAAGAAAGATTGTTTTGGGGGGAGGAGGAGAACCAGGCATTTCTCTATAGCTTTAGTTCATTTTTTACACATTTCTCTTTTTTAATTCCAACCTATGAACTAAATTCGTACAAAACTTCCCTGTTGTTGTAAGTTTAAAATCAGGTGAATTGTGAGCCCTTAGGTTCACAAATCAAACTGACTAAAGGAAAGAAGTAGAGCCTCCATGCCTTATTTCTGTTCTCCAAGATTTAAAAGATTGAGTTTCATTGAAATCCCAGCCAAGTCTTGTATCTGAAGCTGTCCTCTGTGCACCTGATCTGCACACTGCAAGGCAGTGAGATGCTCCCGTAGCAGAGCACAGATGCTGTATAGCCTCACTTCATTCAGTTAGCAAAGTACTTGGTGAGTGGGTTATCACAGTGCATCTCTCTGGAATTACTACCAGACTAAGCAGGTGTCTATGATTTGAGTAGTCTGTCCATTTCAAAACCAAAACCAAAAAAAATCTAAAAACTGAGATTTAACAAAAAAGTCTTGCTCTTCCTCAGCACTTAGCCTGTCCAAGGTGGCCAGTCCCTGTTGTGTTGTTCCACACTGGTTACTTGCCAGCTCTGGGGGTCATCCCAGCATTGGTGATGTTCTGTTAAACTAGTGGCAAATATGTCACTGCGTGAACCGGTTACTCCGCTCCCCTTAGCTTTACAGCTTACCGTGCCCAGATTCATGTCTCTCTGGTTTAGCACTTGCCCCAAATTCAAACATGCTTAGACAGAGCAGGAGTCAGTGCATCTGCTGGGTGCCAGCGTTCTGCTTCCTCCTCCATTCTAACCATCCGTGCTGCTGCTTCAGATGTTGCTGCTGCTCCAGATGTTGTCTTGCAGAACTTTTGGCACCTAAGTTTTTGTTGTATCCGTGCAGCATTACTGTGTAGACACACTGTGTAGCTTGAAGTTTGGATGTTCCCAGAGCAGCTTCCCGTGGCTTTTGTGCATTTTCTTTAGTCAGTATTTCTTGCCATAAAAGCTAATGGTTATTATTTAATTCTTCCTATGACTTCATGAGAGTTTTGTGTAAGGATTGTTAAACATTGTGTAAAATAAGATTGTTGAGGGACAGGTTCAAGTATAAAGCTCTGTCTAGAGTAGAAATCTCAGCCCGAAAACAAGAAGCCTAGAGAGTGGAGTCTGACTGGGGCCACACTCCACCTGACACCTGTCACACTTTGCTGTGAAGCTGGGAGCACAGCCACAGAGAACAGCACAGAAAAAAATCTTTCTTTGCTCTTTGCTCTGGAAACTATTAATGACTATGTTAAAGTTGTAATGAAATGCTTCTTCTAAAAAAATTTTTTTAAATATATATTTTTTAAAAAAAATCTTTCTTTGCAAAGCCGTTTCCATCATTAACCTACCATTTTGCTTGCTCTAGTCCTTTGCTTCTTACACATGACTTGACTTCGGTGTTCATCCCTGTCTATCAGGAATACACAGTGTATGTACTATACAGGCATTGTATCACAGTCCACAGTACCATCTACACGCCTAGTACATAGTCCAGTGTCCATTTTTCATATTTCCTTGATTTTCTTTTCTATTTATTTATTTATTTATTTTCTTTTTGAGACAGGGTCTCCCTGTAGCCCCAGCTGTCCTGGAACTCAGTATGTAGACCAGGCTGGCCTTGAACTCACAGAGATATACCTGCCTCTGCATCCCGAGCGCTGGGATTAAAGGCGTGCGCCACCATGCCGAGCTGTTTCTTGATTTCAACAAAATGAGTTTATAGATTATTTTAACTAAGTTTTTAAACAAGGGCTACAAACTGAATTTGAGAGATCGGACTCTTAGCTCTCTGCTAATCCGTAATAGTTAATTCCCGCTTTTTTAAACAGGCCATTTGGTGAGCAGCCAGGGCATCTGTTCTATAGAAAGTTGCCTATTTTATTAGCATATGTGGCATGTGTCTGTAACCCCAGCATCAGGAAAGGCAAGAGGCTCCCAAAGTCAAAGCCAGTTTAGGATGCATAGAAAGTCAGAGGCCAGCTTGAGCTACATATGCTCTCAAAAAACAAAGGCTTGAAGATGTGACAGAGGTAGAATACTTGACTGACAGACACACAGTGCTAAGGCAGACCTCCAGCACTGGGAGGAAAGATTACGTATTTTAGATTTACATTCGTATAAATTAGATTCACCGTCCCTTGTCCCTTGAAGTTGGTGGTTTGATGTAGGGGTTTGGTTAGATGTAGAGTCACCTTGAGGGGAGTATGAATTTGGCCTGTGTGGTACTCCACACTATCTATTGGGTAACAGTTGGCACTGATTGTGCCCTGGGGTAAAGTTTAAATTGATCATTGGATACAGGTGGTGTCAGTCTCTTATCTATCTGTTATGAAGTTCTCCATCAAACTTTTATCTAATGATTTTAATATCCACTGAGGATATTATCTAGTTGTTTTTTTTTTAAGTTTACTGATTCTATTACTTCTTATAATTAAATGTATTTCTTACTGGAAAGCAGAGCCCTTCCTTACTAATGACTTTCATTAACTCCAAATACAATCTGTATGAGAAAAACCATTATTTTATAATAATTGGTTGGTGCCCTGCCCACTTTCTTAGATAAACATTGAGTATATTGTTGTTTAAGCATTGTTATTAACTCAGGTTTTTGTTTTTAAAATAGATATTGGATGTTGTATAGTTGCTTTCCCTGTTAAGGAAGGTTTACTTTGGCTCACAGTTGGAGGTTAGAGACCATCATGGCAGGGAAGGCCTGGCTTTTGAGGTACCTGATCACAGTGCCTGCAGTCAGGAAACAGAGAGGTGATGCTTATGCTCATCTCACTTTCTACTAATTAAATTCAGGACACAGCCCATGGAATAGTGCTGACCACCGTTAAGGTGGGCTTCCCATTTCACTTAAACCTAATCAAGATAATCCTTTGCGGACATGCCCCGAGGCTAACTAATCTAAGTAATTGCTCACAGGTGTGCTGGGAAATGTATCTCTTAGGTGATGAGATTAGGTCCCATCTAGTTGACAATGTGTTTAGTCCATTTGAAACATTACTTTTTTATGTTCAAATCATCCGCATCTTAGCCCACCGTAAGCTTCTTTAGGTTGACTATGTCCTTTTGGCCGAGCTCCATTCACCTGTGATGGCTTCCTTGCTTCCTCTGGCACAAGAGCACCACATTGCTCATTGTATTCCAGCCTTGCCTTTTTTTTTTTTTTTTTTTTTTTTTTTTTTTTGGTCTTTTTGAGACAGGGTCTCCGTGTAGACCAGGCTGGCTTAGAACTTGCTATGTAGACCAGGCTGGCCTTGAACTCACAGAGATCCACCTGACTCTGCCTCACAAGTGCTGGGATTAAAGGCGTGCGCCACCACACCTGGAAGGTAGCTGTTTGTTTAAGAAGCACCTTTTCAGATACATATGCTCCAGCTGGGTGTGGTGATGGGCATGCCTTTAATCCTGGCACTCTGGAAGCAGAGGCAGTGAATCTCTGTGAGTTTGAGTCCAACCTGGTCTACATAGCAAGTTCTAAGCCAGCCTGGTCTACTTAGTGAAATCCTGTCTAAAAAAAAAAAAAAAGCAGCTATGTATACTTCAGTCAATTAAGTAGTTTAGACTACTTCTGTACAATTGGTCGTCTTAGACTGTATTAGTTTGATGCTAAATATTTTGGTGGGCTGTGCTACTAATTCTACTGTGCATTTAGGTATTACTAGCATTTGACTGAATTTGGAGAGAATAATTTTTTTAATCCTTTACTTATTCATATTTATTTATTTATTTGTTTTTGAGACAGAGTCTTCTGGCCTGGAATTCTCTATGCAAAGAGAATTCCTCAATCTCAGAGAGATCCACCTGCCTCTGCCTCCTATACACTGGGATTAAAGGCATGCACCATCACATCAGCCCAGCAAGAAAAAACTCTTTGCAAAGAGAAGCCCTAACATACTCTCTTCCATTTCCTCTTCTGCAGTGATCCTTGAGCCTTGGGAGGCAAAAGTTGGATATAGGCGTCCTATTCAGGGATAAGGTTGCTCCAAGTCCTGTGTCTGAAGTATGTCGTGTCCTCAGCAACAGTCTTACTTTCAAGTTCTGGGAGGCAATCAAGGCTTGTGGCAATAGGAGAGAAAAATTTTTTATTGGCAATTTCAAATATAATGTGCTTTTAAATCTAGTGCTAACAGGTTGTACAGCAACTGTTTGTCTTGCACTCACTGGGTTATGGTTTAATCATTTAGACAGGTTTGACAGATTCCCATCAAAACCTGTTAAACTTGTACTGAACTGTCCTACCCTTATCCTTCTGGGCTCCTGCTTATTGAAGATAAGCAAAAATGAATGGTGTGAACAGCCCTTCTGTGAACAGACATTTTAATCAAATAAGAGCCAGTCAGCATGCTGAGTGCTGTGCCCTAACTGATGCAGAGGAATGTGGTCTTGCTCTTGTTGAGGATCTGCAATAAACATGTACAACAAAAAGACAGTAGTAGCGCTGCTAGGTAACAGATTAGTGCTACAGTATTTCAGAGGTTAGATGAGTTTGCAGGGTTGGTAAAAGGAAAGGATCTTCCAAGTTGTAAGTTTCTACAAAGGGCTTAGAATTTACATAGGAAAAAGAAAGCATCTTTTTTTTGTCATTTTTGAGACAGGGTCTCCCTGTAGCCACAGCTGGAACTTACTATGTAGACCAGGCTGGCCTTGAACTCACAAAGATCCGCCTGCCTCCCAAGTGCTGGGATTAAAGGCGTGCACCACCATGCCCAGCCTACGAAAGCATCTTAATGGCATTTATCACTGGTGAAAAGTCCAGGGGCAGGAATGAACAAGAAGCAATGAGCAGCAGAACTGGACCATGTTATGGCAGGTAGGAGAGCATTGTACCAGAGCAGTGCATCGGTGAAAGGAAGACTAGCCAGCAAGCCTAGAAGTTTGTTTGCCAATAAACACTTGTGAGCTCCTAAACTAGGAATGTTGTTGCTAAGCTGTTGTTGGGTATGTGGGTTGGGGCGGAGCTTTTTTTCTGATCATAAGGAAGAAATGGTGAGCAAGACAGCAGAGATTAAAGGAAGGAGGCTATATGTTGGAAAGCTGGTGAGACACTTGGGCCCCGGAGTCCACTCTATGCTTAGAGTGATAGAGGTGCTTATAAGGGGACCAGGCTTACAATTTGATGGGATTTACATGTTTCCAAGAGTCTGGAACTACTCAGTGTTGAAATAGCAAAATATAAATGCTGTATATTTGATGGACCTCTGTAGATACTATGAATTTCTGGATTTGTCAATATTTTTTATTCAGTCTTCGGTTCCTTTGGGTGTTGAGCACCATAGGTAACAGCTAAGCTAAAATGGGATGGTGTAACCCTCAAAACTTCTAACTTCAGACACTGAACTTCTAGTCTTACAGTCTCTGCCGTGGCTGTTCTTGATTGATTGAAGGAGGCTGTCTACCTCTGCACACAGGTGGGCTCCAGAGCGAGCTCCCCTGCTGTGCTCTACTCTGAGAGAAATGCTTTTTGTAACCTGCTCTGGTTGCTTAGTTAGGGCACATGTCTGAAACTTCTTGTTCAGAAAGTTTGAAATGTTCACTTCTGCAGTTTTGAGAAATCAATCATGAATGGCTTTTTAAATATTGTTTTTACAGGTATGAATCTCCAGAAATAGCTCTAAATTGTGGGATAATGTTACGCGAATGTATCAGACATGAACCACTTGCAAAAATCATTTTGTGGTCAGAACAGTTTTATGATTTCTTCAGATATGTTGAAATGTCAACATTTGACATAGCTTCAGATGCGTTTGCTACATTCAAGGTAATGCTTTTAAATTTGAATTCTAAATACACTTGAAAGTCTGATCAAGTTTGCAGGTTCCTAATCTCTGTCCTCCTGGTCTACACATGACTGCCCTCTAGTGGAAAGAAAAGATCTTTTGAATGAGTTGGTATGTTTTAGGTTTTTGCAGTGAAACTACAGCCTAAAAATAGGGAAAATTAAGATTCTAAAATCTATCAAGAAGGGAGAAATCCTTTGTGGTCAAAATTCCACATTTCTGTTAAATAATCCACTAAATATGGCATAAATATATAGTGTGTCCAACAACTAGATTTTCTTCTGTGTTGGAGCATTCTGTAGCACTTCCTTGGCACTAGGTGAGGTAAGGTGGGTGGCCTCCGCTCAAGGGCTATGTTATCTTGGAATAAATGTGTTATTAAATACTAGAACCATATTCATTACAGAGATACCTACCCATTGTTGATAGTCAGGCCCAAAGGAGTGATCACCTCTCCTGTGTCCTTCTCACACTAGAGCATGTCTGCGAGAGCAAGGGGGCAGAGTCATCTGCACTGTTTCACTACTGTTTCCTCCCTCCCCTCAGTTGCCTTACCTCCCTTGTGGGTCTGTAGAAACTAAATGCCCATGTGTGTGTATACAGACAGAGATTTCAGTTACAGGTTCTATTTATGGTATATGAATAAAGCAGGAGTCTTCTATTTTCCTTCTTTCCCACTGAGAACAAGCATTCCTTAAATGACCCTATAAGCTAATGAATCAGTGTTTAGTATGCTTACATGTAGACCACCCATGCTTAGAAGCCATGAACACGGTTACAGTGAGAAATAGTCACTTTCCTCATGAGAGCTCAGTTTTATGGTTATAAAGAGCTCATGAAATACCAAGCTTGGGCTCTGGGTGAAATAAAAATGATAAGGGGCTGGAGAGATGGCTCAGTGGTTAAGAGCGCTGACTGCTCTTGCAGAAGACCCAGGTCCAAATCCCAGCACCCACATGGAGGCTGACAACCATCAGTAACTCCAGTTCCGACACCCTCTTCGAACCTCCAAAGGCTTTGCACAACATAGGTGCACTTACTTGGAAGCAATACTCTCATACGCATAAAATAAAATTTTGAAAAAGAATGATGAATGGTCCTAGGATAGAATGAAGGCCTGGGGAATTGCACCCTGGATTAAAATAAAGTCATAGTGTGAGAGGTGCCCAGTATTTATTTCCCAGATCTAGTACAGAGGGTGTCAGAGCTGAGGTCAGACTTCGGATACTTGTATGTAAATGTCAATGTACAAAGCAAAATGCAATGAATTTGAGATTATAACATAGAGTGGTCACTATGATGTCTTAGGTATCACCGCAGTGGTGGGATAGGACTCATGATTAGAATGCATCGATGGAAGGGAGTGTCCTATTCAGGAGCAGCAGCCGGCATGAAGGGAGATGTAGTAGCACCTTGTGTCAAGGAGAGAGTCCCCTGTGTGAAAGACAGCCAGGATCCCGAGAGTGGCAGCACTCTGGGCGCAGGAGGGTGAGGGAAGAGGATTGAGGAGCAGCAGTGGTGTGGGAGAATGCAGCCAGCCCACTGACCACGTGGAGGACATGGATGACATGCTCCTGGCAAAGATGGCCAAATTGGCTCTGAGGTGAGAGATATGTGCTGGCTACATGCCAGAAATGTGATATCTGAGTCTTGATGATTGCATCTCAATCAGGGTTGCTTCTTTTAGTTAATTCTCCCCAAGGAGAAAATGGTGGGATAGAACCACTTTGATAACCCAGTCCCGTCAGATCTGTAAGGCAAGAAAGGAAAGGATTGGGCAGAGCCAGTCAGGTAGTCTCCACTTGAAGAAGAACTTCAAAAATGACTTGGGATTCAGAGGGTGAGCTCCAAAAGAGAACTCTGGGAGGCCAGCCTGGCTTCTGGACCGCAGGTGCTCCTGATGACACAGAAAGGGAGAGGGGAGAGACCTTTCATGAGAGGCCCTAAAGCCAAGACCATGTGTAAGACAGACAGACCTACCACCTAATCTCAGACTAGCTAAATACCAAACAGACCCATGCTACCCCTACATTCTTCTCTGATAGAAACCCCAGTCAGAACAGGAAGAATGCCAGCAGGGACAGCCCAGCAGCTTCCCAGCAGAGGAGTTGGCGAGACAGGAGGAGAACTTCTCTCCTGTTTGCTGCTGTCCCTTTGCAAAGGGCAGTTTTCTAATAGAAAAGATCTGCATTCTATGCCATCCTTTGAGAAAATGTATCTGCACATTTCTCAGACACACTCAGCTTGTGGAACAGGTGCTGAGCCTTCAAATTAGAACCATCTTTTCTACATGTGTCCAGGATTCATAGCTTGAATGAATGAATACTGAAATAGCAAACCAGATGGCCAGATATCTTTAGTGATTTGGTTTGGGTTTGAGGAATGAATGAAATGGTAAAGGCATTTGAAGGCCAACCACTACTTTTAATTTTCCAGAATAAAAGAAGGCAGATTTCCCAGAAAACCTGGTAGAGTTTGGAGCTTGATGGTATACCTTAGTAAGAGCCTAGAGGATATTTCTATTTGTATGCGCCTTGGAAAGGAACCCGGGTGGGTGCCCACAACCAGCGTGGCTCACTAAGAGAAGTTCAGTCATACTAATCTTACAAGAACCGGTGCATCAGAGCAGCGCTGCCAGTGGTTTGACCTCCTTCTGTCCATTAGTTAAAATTTAGGTAAAAGTACAAGTATATGAAAGGGCTTTGCACTGCCACACAGTGTGTGCAGCAAACAAGTTGCTGGACAGTTACTAACCCTACCAATCTAAGAAGATAAGCGCACAACTAATTGGATGCCACAGCAATACATTGTTGGTAAATAGAGTGCCATCTTCCTAGAAAGGTCTCCTCTGGGCTTCTCCCGTCCAGCCCAGCTGAGCACTTCTATTAGTGACTGAAGGGTACACTCATCAAGGGATGTAATAGTAACTGGAAAGGGATAGAGATAGGTATCTAGATACTAAATTCCTAAAGATCCAGGGAAACCAGAATAGGACAGGGTGAAATTAGGTGTAGATAACTGCAGTCTTCCACCTGAGGATCCAACTGTGTAAATACAGGATGAGAGACTAAAGCATCATAGTAACAATGCTAAATGAAATGGTTACAACTGTATAAATACGGGATGAGAGACTAATAGTGCATCATAGTAACAGTGCTAAATGAAGTATAATATTTACTAGAATATAATTAACAACCATATGAGAGGTATTATTGTTATTATATCCTTCCTTTGTGAGAAAATTGAACCTGAAAATGATGGTAACAAATCATACAGTAAGTGCAGAAGCTAGAATTTGAACTCAGGCAGACTTAAAAAACCCACTCTGCAAAATTCTGAAATTTTCCAGTAAAATTAAACAGGGTGATGATGCTGCCCCTCAGAGCTTCATGTGAGCACATGTGTGTAATGTAAGGAGTCACTGGTGTCACTTTTCAGGTAACAGCATATAAATGTTTCTTTCCATGTGTTTTTGAGTGTGCATAGACAAATAGGTGACTTTCAAAAGGCGATGAGGGACTCAGAACCCTGTCCTTCAAGGAGTTGTTAAAAGAACTGAAACATGAGACTACTTGTATTTGAAGTGAGTCTGTCTACTCTGGCAGTTTCTCAAAGTAATTGACTCAAGCAAGGAAAGACCCTTTTGACTCTAGGACCTCCAAAAGTGAACAGTACAGATAAAAAAATTGAGTTCCTTGTCCATGGACATAGTTAAGCATTAGGTAGCACATGGGGCCACGTGACTTCCCAAGGCTCTGCGCAAACAATCACCCACTCCAGCAGGTAGCAGATTTCTCCAGGAGTTGAGGGTGGCTTTTGTCATCTGCTATTTGGACTTTGAGAAAGCTTTATAATTTGGCCATCTTAAAAGTTGGCTGCTCTCTGCTGGGCTTGGGACATGGTACATACAGCCTTTCTCCAAGTAGATCAGGTCCTTATCCTTCCCCTCTGGTCTGCCTCAGGCAGGATCACATGTACCTCATAAATTTTGTGGGTTGCTGACCACATACTGACTGTACACCCTTTGCCCTTCACTTTTGTCACAGATATCTCTTATGCCCCGAGGCCAGTTTCTCTTCCAGGAGATGGAAGTACTGCCCGAGGCCCCGTCTCTTCCTTTCCCAACTTAATATTAGCTGGTTCTTAGCAGGCACTCCTTTCTAACAAAAGTTCTCCCCTGCTGGAGAGATGGCTCAGCAGGTAAGAGCACTGGGACCCGGGTTCGATTCCTAGGACCCACATGATGACTAACAAGTATCAGTAACTGTCTATTCCAGGGGAACTGACACTCTTTTAACTCCACGGGCATTGTACTACATGGGTGCACTTACACATGTGCAGGCAATACACTCATACACGTAAAAACAAAATAAAAAAAAAATTTAAGTCCTCCCCAATCCCAGGCCCTCAAAAGGCTTTCATCTTTTTTTTTTTTTTTCCCCCTTTTTTGCTCTTTTTGAAACAGGGTCTGGAACTCACAGAGATCCACCTGCGTCTGCCTCCCACGTGCCTGGACTACAGGCATGCGCCACCATGCCCGGTGGCTTTCATCCTTTTATGTATGGGGTCCAGCTCCTACTTTAGCAGCCTTAGAGCACCCCCTTTTAGTTCTGTCTACCATGAGGCCGTTGTAATTTGTTTCCCAGACTGACCAGAATCTGAGTTTGCAGATTATAACAAATGGATGGGGAGATATTGGAGGCTCCCCTTTTGGTGTGTGATCTACTTGGTCCTGCTTAAGGTACACTGTAGACCTTCCTGTCATGGAGCAGATACTTCTTACTGACCTGTTCCTGAAACTCCAGTATCAGTTGAGTGCCAACATCTCTCAAGCGCCCCTTTCCTTGACCTTTTCTGTTTAGTGTGACCGAATAGAGGGCAGTGGAGTCTTTAGGCTGCACTTCCTTAGTGCCTGCCAGAGTGACTCAGTTACAAAACGGAAGCGGCATTCATTGTGCACAGACCTGACACATTAGTCTCTTAATCCATTCATTCATTCACCAAGTTACTGGGGACCTGCACTGTTCCAACAGGTGCTGTTCTAAGGTGCTGGGACCTACTCTTGTGTCACCTACACAGGGGGAGACCAGCTGTCAATTAAGCTTGATAATAGGTGGGGAATGCTCTTTGACAGACAGGGATTGAAGAGAACATTGACGTTCTCACACTCTTCTTTACATTGTGACCCATGTGACTACAATGCTAGGTACACTACCATTGTAGCACTCTGTTAAGGGAAGGTCCTACATGTGGAACCATTCTGTCTCCAAGCATGTTAAAAATGACTGCAGGTTTTTTGTTTTTTTTTTAAAACTTCTACCTATTGAATTCTCAAGGGGAATTTGGAAAAATTAGCTAGGTTTTCCTGAACATCCTTGTTTAAATGAGGGCCTTCAATACATACCCTGTCCAAAAGTTTGAAGAGCTATAAATCTTTAAGGTCGGGGTTAGAAGCCTTAAAAGGCATACTGTGATGATTGTTTGAATGTGACAACCCCCCTCCATGCCTCCCCATTTTCCTGGTTCATTCATTGGCTAAATGAGTACACTCTTGCCGTTGTACCAGGCAGTGCAAATGTGATGGACACTCAAAGCCTAGTAAAAATACACATGGCCCCTGTGTTTCTGAAAGTGAGAGTTTAATACAGGAGAGTATCAAATCCCACAAGCAAATATAAAGTCACAAGTGATGCTAAGTCAGAATCTGAGGCCAGGGATCCGTAACTAGACATAGAGAAAGCCTCTAGGAAGGCCTTTGGGAGAAGATGTTAGCAGGTGAATAACAGACTGGAGATCTGGTGCATCCCTACTAGGGAACTTGAGCTGGAGTGCTGTCCACATGTGCTTCACAGAACCAGCGCCGCAGTTGAACCAACTTAATTAGGTGAAATGGGACAGAAAGCATGTTCCCTTTCTTACCCAGTGAGACCAAGGTCAGTTCATAGGTAGCTTGTAGGAGCCTAAGGCACTGTATGTCTTTTTTTTTTTTTTTTTTTTTTTTTTTTGAGACACTCTCTCTATAGCCCCAGCTGTCCTGGAACTCACTGTGTAGATCAGGCTGGCCTTGAACTCAGAGAGATCCGCCTGCCTCTGCCTCCCAAGTGCTGGGATTAAAGGCATGCGCCACCACGTCTGGCCAGAGTATGTCTTTTTGTGTTTGAGACCAGAGCCTTGAAATTTTCATACATTCTTTCTGAATGAATGAGACTTGAGCTGTTTCATAGTAATGTGGAATTATTTCATAGTAATGTGGAATTAGACTATAGGTCAAATTCATTTGTATTTCCATATTTTTGCAGAATTATTCTGCTTTCTTGAAAGTTAGTGCTATAATTGTTACTTTTAGAAAAATTTCCTTTTGACAAAAAGACTGTATTAGCTGTAAAAGCGAATATAGTTGAATTTCAGGAGAACAGAGCAGTTTTCCTAGGAGCATTCACTGGGCACAGCTTTCTCTTCCACATTTCAGAACAGCGTTAGCTTGTGTCTCACTCCCTTTTGTTCCGTCTGCTTTAGTTTAGTTTTTCCTTCTAAGAAATAGGGCCATGTCTAGTCATAGTCATTAAAATTGTGATTTCAAAGTAGTGATTTTATGTGCCTTTATAAAAAAATTTTGGTAGAATTTATGCTGGAATATTAAGTGCTGTGTGGTGATACTTAGCGGCTGTCTTATCATGCAAAATTGCACAAAATATTTTAGAATTCCATTTTCCAAGAGAACTTTAGTAGAAAATAACTGTAAAAATTTTTTTTTTCTAGGATTTACTTACAAGACATAAATTACTCAGTGCAGAATTTTTGGAACAGCATTATGATAGAGTAAGTATTAAAGTATTATTTTAAATAGCAGTTGCAAGTCTTTTAACAGAAATGAAGGTTTAAATTGGGTTTTCTACCAGAATGTCTATTTTGACTACATGGCGTTTGTAAGCGGTGGTGTAATCACTTCTCTCCTGAACAACAGAGTGCAGCCAGTCAGAAGCAGAAGGTGATCTTTTGATCCACACACTCACTGCCCATTGTATCTTTCCTGCTGGTGAATGACAATGTAGTTAGAACGCAGAGAGGACTGACTTTTTAACTTTTCCTTCCTCTTCCATCAGTTGCTGCATACAGGTAGGGTTGGAGCAGCGCTGGCCTCGTGGTGGCAGGGCCCTGCTCTGCTTCTGCTTCACTGCCAACTCCCTTGTGGCCATGGTCAAGGCACTTAGCGCTTGGGGACTAAGAAGTCCTCCCTTATTTGTAAAACGAGGACGTTTGGACTAGCCATCGACAAGGTCACTCCTAGCTCTGAGTCAGTGTGAGGTGTGCCTAGTAATGGTGACCTCCAGAGCTTTGGAAATGACTCTGGGAACCTGATGACTTGCCACCCGTTGAGCCACACAGCCACCCCAGAGCTGCGGCATCCGTATTCGCTCCTGCCACAGGCCGCTTCTGCTTTGCCCTGGAGGGCTCCCCGACGAACCCCATGCTTTCTCATGGCACAGTGGTTTCACCACATGCAATCCAGGACCTGAGAGGTGCTTCTAGAGAACCTAGAATAGCAGCAGTCCATTCAACTTCCCGTCTGTCGCCCCAGATTTGGCTGTGGTTTTAGTTCTGCTACTAGTAGGTTAAATCTTTGAAATTTTAAGTATTATTATTTCATCATTTGGTATCCTAGTCAACTAAAGTATAAGATTCTTGCCCCAGATTTGGCTGTGGTTTTAGTTCTGCTACTAGTAGTATTATTATTTCATCATTTGGTATCCTAGTCAACTAAAGTATAAGATTCTTGGAGGCAAAAACCCATGCTTCCTCATTCTTTTATGTGCATTCTCCTTGTCTTTCCCTCACCCAGCGCATCTTAACGTGACGCAGCCCCATGGAAGGCTTTGACATTGGCCGTCCTTTATTTCTCGAAGCCCATGTGTGTTTGGATATGGACATCTCTTTTTGAGTGTTTTGGTGTCAAGTGGCAGCAGTCATCTCATTGGAGCTCTTACAGCCTTTAGAAACGTAGACTTTAGCATCAGACAGCCTAAGTCTGGTTTCAAGTGCCTGATATTAATAAGACCTTAGGCACCTGTTCCCATCGCTCTCTGTGCCTTCCACAGCCTCAGAGCAGCACCTGCTACTAGATAAAGAGTGTGAAGTGTGGCTTGAGATGCCAAAGCCCATGAGATAGTGCTGAAACATCATAAGCAGCTCATAATTGTGAGCTGCTAACGTTATTACCACGCAGTCTCAAATATTTTTATTATGCTAGGGTATCTAACTTAGAACTTACCAAAAATACTGCCTTATTTCTAAAAAATTTACTACAGGCAGTGAAATCTGCTTTAATATTGGAGTAAAATATTCCTTCCAGCATATTGGTGGATGACATCATATCCAGGATTTTAGAAAGATGTATGTGAGGCAACTGACAGAAATGTATAAAGTGTCATCAGATCTGAGGGAGAAGGAAAGTAGTCAGTCCACAAAATGTGTGCTCTAAAGTACTGAGCACTTTCAAAAGTCATAGTTTTCTCGTAACCAAAGCATGGAGGGAAATAATTAAAAGACCATAATATATAAAAAGCAAAATCCATGCTGGTTACTGAGAAGAAACATGATTCTCTAGCACTAGAGCCTGAAGCACATTCTGCCAGACATTCTGGAAGGGACGTTAACTGACACAGAGTGGCTTTCTGGCTCCTCTGGTGACATGGTCTTGTTCCTGTCCCTTTGAAGATCCAGTGGGCTCCCATCAGCCTGCCGTGCAGCACTGCTCACTCTCCCGGTCCTCCGGCTGTGCCCTTCCTTTCTCTCCCATTTCTAAGCAGAGCTGTTCTGCTTTCACTTTGAACCAAGTCTCACCTTTCCAGGCTCTATCTGCTCAGTGCAGTGCTGGGTTTCTCCTCTCACCATCTCTCCATTTTCTCTCCTTGCTTGATCCTTGAAAGAACAGGTTCGGCATAAAAAAATCAGAATGATCTAGTCTAACACCAAGACATGAGTTCAGAAACTGAGGAGGGTGTTAACGTTTCAGCACATGGAGTTGGGATCCAGAGGGGACTTGGTCAGAGCAGTCTGTAGGCTTGACCGGAGGCTGGAAGGGATCGGTCCCAGGAGCTCTCTGCATAGAGGTGACCGGTGACATCACCCGAGGGCCTCTGAGGACATGGGGTGGGTGTTACTGTTTGGCAGCCCAAGCACTTGGGCCACCCTAGCCTTTGTGATATGAGTCTACCCCTGAACTTCATGTTATCTGGCCATCTTTTTCTTAAACAGCCTTCATGTGTGTTTTCTGCTCTTTTAGTTTTTCAGTGAGTATGAGAAGCTACTTCATTCCGAAAATTATGTGACAAAGAGACAGTCACTGAAGGTATGGCAGATTATTTTGTATCACTTGTTTCTCTTCACTGTGTATTTGCAACTTGGATTTGGAGATAGAACAGCATGCTGACATGGATTGTAGACCTTTGAGAAAAATACATCTGTGATTTGCATGTGATCAGAAGTTTTTCAGAGAGGATAGGGTTTGGAGTGGTGCCCACCAAAACTGTAAGGTAGTCACCAGAAGAGAATATCACAGGAGGCAAAAGATGACTTTCCTTTCCTAACAATGCAGTATTTTAGATTCTGAAACACTTTTGAGGGGGTTGGCGTTTTTGTTGGTTTGAGTTTCATTTTTGGTTTTAAGATAGCCTGTGTATCTCAAGCTGAACTTGAACTGGGAGCCTCCTGCCTAACCCTCCCAAGGGTTGGAATGGCAAGGACGTACCACCGTGCCCTGCAGAAACACTCTAAATATTTGTTTTATTGTTAATGGGGGTGCAGGGTACCCTCCTGACCAGAAGATCCCCTGGAATTGAAGGTAGCTGTGAACCTCCTAATACAGGTACTGGAAATTGAGCTCAGATCCTCCACAAGAGCAATAAGTGTTCTTAACTGCTGAACCAGAAGCCCCCAGAAATATGCTTTAAACTTAGAGACTCATGCCAACTAGATGAAACATTTCAGATGGGTGCCCTGTGTGATACAGACCTGTGGTAAAGGGGAGAAGACAGTGTGAGCAGTGAAGTTGTGGGCTGCCCATATCCTTGGCTGCGTTGTATCAAAACAAGATATCGGGATGGATGTCTTCCAGAGGACCTGGGCTCAATTTCCAGCACCCTCATGGCGGCTAACAGCCGTCTGTAACTCCAGTTCCAGGGGATCCGACACCCTCTTCTGACCTTCGAGGGCTTTGCACAACACAGGTACACTTACATACATGCAGGCAATACATTCATAAAATGAAAATAATAAAATATTTTTAAAAACAGGATATGGACAATTCCAGTTGAACCTTTAAAATGCTAAATGTAAATTTTAAACTACTCTAGAACAAAAAGTAGTAAACTGAGGAGTTGGGGCAACTCAGTAGGCAACACGCTTGCCATGTAGGCATGAGTCAGATCCCCACCATCCACATAAATGCTGGGTGGATGTGGCAGCCTGGCTATGCTTGAGAAGTGGGGAAAGGATCCCAGGAGCAAGGTACCAAGACCAGACCAACCCGCAAAACGGGTTTGAGAGATTCTGCCTCTGGCCGCACACATAACACATCGTGTGCCCACATATATATGAACGTACGTGCAAACTGCACACACAAAGTGCCCATAAACCAAATCCAGCCAGCTGCCTATTTTTGTAAATAGGAAGTTTTATAGGGACACAGGCATTTATTTATGCATCATCTTTGGTTGTTTGTGGCTACAACAGCAGATTTGAGTAGTTGTTGCAGAGACCATGTGGCCTCCAAAGTCTAAAATGTGTGTTGTTGGAGCTAGAGAGATGGCTCAGTGGTTAAGAGCACTGGCTGCTCTTGCAGAGGACCCTGGTTCAATTCCTAGCACCCACATAATGGCTAATGACCATCTGTAACTCCAGGTCCAGGGGATCCAATGCCCTCTTTTGTCCTCCTTAGGCATTGCATGACATGGGTGCATTTACATATTTGCAGGCAGTATACTCATACACATAAAATAAAAAATAATAAAATACTTTTGAAAAATACTTATTGTCCAACCTTTCACAAAACAAGTTGCTGACCTCTGTACAATATTGTTATGGCAGTCATTAAACACAGAGCTGCCACCGCCATCCAATTCTGTCAGTAAATAGTTCTGACAGGAAATGGAGATGCAGTCTCAAAGAGCTTAGGAAAAAATTCTAATCCCATTTAAATGTTTTACCAGATTCATTTTAAATTCTACTCTGCCCAGAGTTCCTCCCCTCAAAAGTTATCTGAATTTATATTGATCAAGATCCTGTTCCTCTTCCCCCCTGACAGCCTATTTATAATTCCTATGGAAAACTTCATTTTTCATGTGTCCAAAGATGGCACATGAGAGCAGTACCTGCTGTCTTCATAAGAGTGTAGACAGGTTGCTTCTCACCTTAAAAAAGATAAATTCCATGATTCACATTGATGTGAAGCCTGGGATGTCTTTTTAAAGTACTTTTTTTTTTTTTTTTTTTTTTTTTTTTTTTTTGAGACAGGGTCCCCTTTCAGCCCCAGCTGGCCTGGAACTCACTGTGTAGACCAGGCAGGCCTTGAAGTCACAGAGATCTGCCTGCCTTTGCCTCCCAAGTGCTGGGACTACAGGCATGTGTACCACCCCGCCCGGCAAAAGTACATATTTTTTACATTGCACTTACTTTGGGGGGCGGGGGCACATGTGGCCATTACAGTTACAGGACAACTCTAGAGAGTCAGTTCTCTCCTACCATTTGGGTCCTGGGGATAGATGTTGTCAGACTTGGCAGCAAGCTCCTTTACCCACTGAGCCGTCTTCACCAGCCTGAAACCACTTTTTTAAGTTCTTTATGAACCCTAAGTAGCATAGATTTGTTTTTGTGCAGAACAGATTTTTGTGTGTGTAAGTATGTATCTATGTATGAGTATGTGCATGTGAATCCAGGTACCTACAGAGGCCAAAAGAAGGTGTCATCCTCTGGAGCTGGAGCTATGGACAGTTGCGAGCCCCCAACGTGGGTACTGAGAACCAAACTCAGATCCTCTGCAAGAACAGTCAAGGTTCTTAACTACTGAGCCATCTCTCCATCTACACAGCAGATTTTACTATGACAAGTTTACTCACCTAGAGATCAGCTGTTTAGGACTGTCAGATACTTGGCAGTCCTCAGGCACAGCAGTTCTGTGCTTACACTCCCCTCCCTGAGACCCTGCCCTACACCACTGCAGTCGTCTTGGGCCTAGCATGTGCTTTCCATATCCTTGGCATTTTGATTTCTCTCCACGTTCTCATAAAATATAGGCACCATTTCCCACATTATTGTATATTTGGTGAAGCTACAGCACAGAGACGGTAAGGTTACCACTCTTCCTGGAGAGCCAGACTCTGAGCCCAGCGAGCCTAGTGCCAGGATATTCTCTCAACTGGCCACCTGTCTGTCCACAAGGATGATGGGTGATGCCTGCTCCTTGCAGTATACATGGACCTGCATGCTGGGCCTCTCTGCTATAGGTCAGCACATCAATATCCTGGAGGAAAATCTCAAATGAGCATTATGGGCTGCTGTGGTACAGGCAGCTTGTAGAGCTCAGGAAGCCCTGAAGTTCACAGTTTCAGTTTACCGTGATGTCCAGAACAGAGACGATTACCTTCAAGTACTTCACTGAGGATAGCATGGAAGAGCTTTCATCTTTGTAGCTTTTGTGAGACATGTAAGAAAATGGTAACTTCAGTATGTGTGGGCCAGGGTATAAAACTGGACAAAACCATCCTGGAAAGCCCCGTTAAATACCACTTCAAACAGGAAAAAAATAAGTTAAGCCAAGAAATTACAAGTACCTTCTGGCCATTTCCTTGGGTAGTTTCTTTGTTGTTGTTCATTTTTATCTTGCTATTGTTTCATGGTCTATGAATCAGCACAGCACACACTTAAAGAACAGGCTCTGAAGGTCTCTGAGCCTGAGACAAGCTCTTCAGTAGCACCTCTTGCCATGGGCTAGACACTTGATGCACATGCCAGTGGTGGGTGTTCAAGTGAGTGACCAAGGGAGGTGGTGCCATACCCTCTAGGACTCTGCTGGGTCAGTTTTTTTTGTTTTTTGTTTTTTGTTTTTTGTTTTTTTTTTTTGAGTGCCTGCTAATCTGTGCTTAAGAATAATATCCTCAAAATGAGGGGTATTTTTAACTTTTAGATTTGCTTTGAAGTCTTAATGGTTGGAGAATGATGGTCTAAATGTCTTTTCAGCTTCTTGGTGAACTACTGTTAGATAGACACAACTTCACAATTATGACGAAATACATCAGTAAACCCGAGAACCTCAAATTAATGATGAACCTTCTACGAGACAAAAGTCGTAACATCCAGTTTGAGGCCTTTCACGTTTTTAAGGTAGAGTACACAAACCATAAACAATATTATCCTCAAATTATTCTCATCTCTTTTCATTTACAAATTACTAAAATATTGCCAGCCCAGCTTTGGTAACCAGAGTGATGGACAATTGAGCAGTTGAGTCAGTCTTCATGTGTATGTGGTACACCATTTCACAGAGACACGGACCTGGAAATGGGCCCTCAGAGAGCAAGAGCACTCCCCTCCACCCCTCCTCTTCCAACAGGGTCTCACTCTGTTGGGTCCAGGCTCAAATTCACAATCCTGCTGTAGCCTCAAGTGGGAGCCAGTGCCCAGCAGAGTATTTTAGAAGACTTTCTGTTGAGGTTTCTATTCTTTTTTTCGGGGGGGGGGGTGAGACAGGGTCTCCCTGTAGCCCCAGCTGGCCTGGAACTCACTATGTAGACCAGGCTGGCCTTGAAATCATAGTGATCCGAGTGCCTCTGCCTCCCAAGTGGTGGGATTAAAGGCATGCACCATCACACCTGGCAAGGTTTCTATTCTTAAAACCCAGTCTGACCCCATGCCCAGAAATAATTTCTGATCAGAGTTGGTACTTAGTACTAACTGCTGCTTTCAGGTTTGGCACAGCAAGCTTAGCAATCTTTGTACTAAAACATAGAATTATTAATTCTTGGGATTATGTAAAATAGGTTCTTCTAAAACATAAACTACACTGACTTGCCTGCCTTCCCAGGACCAAGCACCCTGGGTAAACATTGATTTCTCTCTAGCTGACATGAGCTCCTCTCGCTCAGGTGTTTGTGGCCAATCCCAACAAGACGCAGCCTATCCTCGATATCCTCCTCAAGAACCAGACCAAACTCATCGAGTTCCTCAGCAAGTTTCAGAATGACAGGACCGAGGATGAGCAGTTCAACGATGAGAAGACCTATTTAGTCAAACAGATCAGGGATTTGAAGAGACCAGCTCAGCAAGAAGCCTAATTTCCAATAAACACCTACAATACCCAATCCAAATTCAGCATTTGCTGTTAGCTACTCAGCATCAGGCACTCTTACCAATTCACGAGGAACATTACTGCTAATCTGCTGTTAAGTGAACGGTTTTTCCTTTTACTCTTTGTTTTTAGTCCAGGTTGGAGAGCGTAGTTGCTGCCGCTTGCACACTAGCACAGTGGGCTTTTCCTTGATCTTTGTGTCATTTCAGAATTCAAAGACTCCATTTGCTGCAGGAGTTCTGAGCATGGCCGGGTTCATGAAGGCAAATGTACGGAAGAGAGTAGAAGAGAGTGGTGTAGGGAAGAGGGCTTTGACATCGGGTGATAGCTGTGTGCTTGCATGGCTTTGAGGGGAAGATCCCGTGCAATGTGGCACATGCACACCTGTCATCCCAGCGTCAGATCATCCACCTTCACTGAAGGAAGATGGCACATACAGGGCTTTGCTGGAAATCAGAGGGGACTGTATCCACAGTGTGAGCTTTTGGGACAGAAAGTTGACGTGCAAATAAATTGATACTGAAACTTAGCGACTTCTCGAAAGTGTAAAGCTCCATAAGGTCATAAGGAAAATGTATATATGCTTTTCACAGCTTTCTAGAACTTTCTGACATTTGATTTTCTTGAGACTTGTAAACCTGGATATGTGGAAGGGTATTTGTTAATTTTACTATTTGAAGGTATTTTAAACAGTAGAGCTAGTGATACCACCTTGCATTTCATTTCAACACTGCTTACAGGTTTCTTTTGTATATAATTCTTAGAATGCTCATTTCTTTTAAATGGTTTAATTTGTACAGCAGAGGAATGTTATTGTAGTAGTATGTAACTATTACCTGAGTTTTTGCAAAAAAAAAAAAAATGAATGCTCATATGTAATTGAAATACTTCAGGTCACATGAAAATGCTGATTTTAACATTTAAGGATCACAGCATTAAAAGAAAACCAACCCTTTGTATTCAATTACCTAACAGGGTGCCATTAGCAGGCGGAACTACAGACCTGGAACTCAGTCCGCTCCACTTTCTTGCTCAATATTGGCCTTATTCCTCTTTAAAACTTCCTGTTTGCCACATCTGTGAATGATAAGGATTATGCTAAATCAGTGCTGATGCTTTGTGGGGAACCTCTGTAGACCACCCTTTCTTTCTTAGAGTAAGTAATCCAGTACAATAGTCGTGAAACTGAATAATTAAAACTTTGGCTTCTCTTAGGAAGAGCTCCTAGTCATAGGTGTCCTATGGGGAAATTTATTTTTTTTAATGTCCTGTTCCTTAATGCTGCAAATTATCAGTATTTATAAAGTAACTGATTTTGCACCACTTTTTTGTGACTTGTGACCACGGCAGAACAGTGTCTTCTAGACTGTATCTATATAAAGTTAATAGAATGGAATCCGTTCATCTCAGTGACACACGGATCACAACTAACAACTTACCAATCAGAGTTTGCCAGTTCCAATTCAGCATGGCTGTAGCTGATTAAGAAATTTATATAATTCTTTGCTAGCCTCTCTTACTAACTGAATTATTCATTGGCCAGTAAAATGAGCCTCCCAAAATGTTTTAGCAGGTGTTAAGGACTCCTTTAAGGAACACAAGTCATAAATAACTACTCCGGAAAATACAGATATATTTTCTTCTATTTAATTTAAATGACAGTCTACAATATTGGTTTTCCTGAGGCTGTCTTTATCAGAATATGTTGGGGATGATTCATGTTCTCACTTAGTAAAACAGAGAAAACATTGGGTCTCCTGGAAAAGAATACTCCTTGGCTGTGTAAGAGGCAGGCTCCGCCTAGCCGAGGTGCTCATCCTGTGGTCCAGTGTTGTGTGTCTGGATTTAGTGACAGCACATTGCGTCAAGTGAAGAAGGTTTTTGCCAACCCAGCTCTTAGAGCTGCTTCCACTTGGTCAGTCACGGGTGGCGCTAGAGCATGTTGCATAGAAGAGCGGGTACAGAGGGTCAGCAAACGTTACAGTCACAGTGGAAGCTGAAAGCAGAGAAGACTTTCTGGTTTTGTTTTTAGACAGACCAATGTGAAAATATTCTAAGTTGAAAAGTTGCATTTGAAGTATGATCATTTAATATATTCATATTACCAAAACTATTATACTGGGAGTGGTTTCTTCGGTGTTATAAAGGTTTAATTTTACTTAAGGCAGTTACTTAATGTGTTTTTTTTTTTTTTTAACCCTTTTAAAAAAAAAGTGGGGGATGTATACAGTTGTTAAAGACAT